AAACAAGCTCTTAATTGTTACTGGTAGACAAATTCTCCTTGCCAGAACCTTAGGAAATGTACTGAGAACAGTATGGAGAAGATGCATACTGATGTTAGGGTGTAAAGGGTTAATGTCAGTTTTGTTACCTTTTTTTTATGTGTTGTTTGTTTTCTTGTTTGTTTGCTTTTTTGTTTAATTTAGTCTTCCCCCTAGGGACTGTATTAACCAATATCTTTCATTTGGGTAATAACATTTTTCAGCGTAGTCTTACAGTTATTTGGCACTTTAGTTCATTTAAGACATACAAGTAAAGAATACAAACATTTTATTAGTTTTATTATTTAACTTAAGGAATTATTATCTTGGTTAGGTTAACAAAACTCAAATGCGGTATATAGTTGTCCACTCGCATGACTTAGTGTTATCAACTAGGTTGATGACATAAATAATGTCCAATGTAAAGAGTTTCAAAGTTGACATTTCAAGCATCAGAACCCTTGCTCTGACACCATAAAGAGTGTCATAGCTTACTTCTGAACGTTAGCCCTTTGTTGTATGCTCTGATGAAGGGCTATTGCTCAAAAGTAAGCTTTCGGACACTCTTTACCGTGGCCAATTAATATTACACAGTCGATCATACTAAATTACCCTGTTATACTCTCCCACCAATGCAGCAACATAGTTTCTTTAGAAACATACCCACCTTCACTCTTATAATTGTTCTTTTTTTACCTATTTTGATTGAATTGTGTTTGCAGAGAGGTGAGGTTCAAATAAAGGAATACTTTTTAAGAATATTTCTGATACATTGACAGGGTGATAATTTTGGGAGCATTTCTTTTTGGCTTTTCATTTAAATCTCATTTTTTCCTTTCATTTTGTAAAAGAGTCCTTGAGAGTAACAAAATTCACAAATGACTATAAGCATTGTAAAAATAATTACAAATATTTCTCATGTGGATTCAATTAAAGGGCTGGGTTTTCATCATCAAGTTGTATACCCTATTGAATGCAAAAATTAAGAACAGGAATAATTCAGATGAAAGCTCTTTAGCGATAAACCATATTCACAGGGATAAGGAAGAGAAAAAAATCGAGAAAGTAGTTAAGCGTGTTATACTTTTGTATGTACCTGATGCGGACCTAATTTGTTCAATTTAAATTGTAACCAATATGGCCTCCTTCCTGACTATCAATGATGACTGCCTTTGCAGAATTATTTCCTTTTTGGACGATCCGGTTTCGTTTCACAGCGTTGCTGTCTCCTGTAAGAGGGTTCAACAGGTGATTAACAACACTCGGAGCATTCTCCATCCAAAGTTGCTGCGAGTAAAAGCTGAATATTACATAAAATGCTACCTTGTGGAAATCACCGATGACGAGAGCGACTATGGCTACAACAAGTTTAGCGATTTGGAAGATATTTTCTCCAATGCTGCGCGCCTTACAGCAGCTAAGGAATTCCTTACTTATGCAAAAGTAGTAAATGCTTGGAAGAGAAACGGACCCGTGGCAGCTAAATTGTTGACATGGATCAGAAATCAGGAGAGTAGCACAGAAGAAAGCGAACTGGGAGAGACTTGTTTTACCGAATATCTAAGTGTCACGTTGCATTTGCCAGGCTGTGACAAGGACTTAAGGATCGATACCACCATCTTTTACGATCACAGCGGTGATAACGACGGCGAGTTGACCATTCAAGTAACTTGTGGAGATTTGGATGTAAAGTCAGAAGGTGAGTTTGCAGGTTGTTTTTGATGCATTTAAGCTTATTAAAGATTAGTTGACTGTAGCTCTGTTCACAGTAAAATTGGTTGACCGTAACTGAATGGAGAGAGTGATTGACTGGTAAATTTTCCGCACAGCCCCATACTGCCACTGGGAAAATCTGTTTTCCCAGTGGCAATGTATTGTTTTTGTCATTGTTTTCTCTATCCAAGAACTGAATGCATAATGTAGTATGGGGCTGTTAGGAAATTTTACCGGTTAGCCTTAATACTTCTGAATACTTCTTCTGGTCAGTGTAAATAGTAACTTTGCTCTGACTTTGACATCTGATTGGACTGAACTGACTCAAAATGCAAACTCAGTGTATTGTTAAATGTTAATCAGTAAGATTTTCAATCATTCAGCATAATGAAAAACTGTCAATAAAAGATGACACCTATTTCTTCAACAAAACAGACACCATTTACTTGCCTTGGGATAAGAAAAATTTTTGTCTGGCATGAAATCTGACAGATTTTTCAATTTACAAGTCATAATTTAAGGAAAACATTATCTAAAAAAATTTGATCTCACTCTTTGAGTGCGAGTCTTCTAGGCAGAAGGCTGCCAGAATATTTAATTTATATCCGGCAATCAAAGGGTGAGGATGGAAGATTAATTTTGTACCTTGGAATGCTGCATGGCAGTCAGTACTCAGGATATTCAGAGTACACCATTATGGCTCCCAAGTTTACATTCATGTTGAATTCCCAGGTTCAAGTACTGCTAAAGTTGTATATCCATGGGATTGGCATGTGGTGATTAACAAATGATTATTAAAATTAACCACTTGTAAATTTGAGGGGGATAAATCTTCTCAAGATTTTTGCTGGAGCAAAAAAAAAAATGGTCAGCCCAGTGCGCAAAGGCCTTTGGGACTGAGTGTCTGTCTGAGATAGTAATTGACTGTCTGACTGATTGATACAGTGACTGACTGAGTGATTGACAGACTGACTGAATGAATAAATGACAAAAGGGAAGATGGAAATAGTTGGGTGTGGAAGTGAGTGAGTGAGTCAAGGATTGGCTGATAAATTGATTGAATTATCCAGTAAGTATCCTTTATTTTTGCAATATGCCTGCTTGGGTTTCAATGGCGAGTTAAGTATCCCAGCCAAAATAATTGTAAAAAATTTGAACCTAAAACAAGGTTTTTGTGGCAAACATGGGTGTGGATGACTAAGGTGACCACCTCTTTTCAAGGAAAAATGACAATTTAAATGAAAATCAGGTTAATTTTGAATTTTAGGAAAAGTTATTTTAGGACCCTCTACTGATTGTCTGTGATAAAGTGCAGAGGTATTTTATGTTTATCAATTTTGTAGCAGTTATGGGTAAGCTGCCCTTTTACATCTGTCGGTATTATGCACAATTCTATGTAAGTAGACTGTTTCTAATGCTATTTTTACTCTATGATTAAATTACCATTTTCAAAGGCAGAGTACCATTTTGTGAGAGTTACATCCGCTATTGCCCTAGCGATTATGAGTTTTGGAAAGAAAAAGAAGTTCAAGCAGTGGTTAAACCAATGAAACCAGTCGTGGAACTCCTGCAGAAGGAGCTTGGTGAGACAGTTCCTCCGATGACAAACAATTTTTTTGTCTGGTTGTGTTACTTCTTTCCACACCAGAGAACCTTGGCAACAGAACACAAGCTTAGTTTTGAAGACCCATCTAGGAATGTAACACCCACCCCTGAGGATGTTCAGCCAGCTATGGATCTGTTTCATCAGAACCTTCAAGCTGATACCAGCTTGAAAAACTTGGTTTCTGGATGGAATGATCCTGATTCAAACCTCTCCAGTCTGATTGCCCAAATTATGGCAGTCTTGATCCAGAGATCAGAGACAGAATTCTTTGAAAAGCTTCAAAGGGATACCAATGTCTTTTATGAGATTGCATCAGACCTTAAGCAGAAACTACTCCCCAAACCACTTGTGCAGGACTTACTTTTGCGAACAGAGCTTGTGTCTAGTGATTACGACCCTGGTTCAATTGCAGACAAGTTTGTACAAGGTGAAGCTTCATTCAGGTTTTCAGGAGGTAAAGTTGTGACAGCTGCAGGTGGCATGCATGGGGATGGGGCAAGCTCCCCTACTTGGAGTGAATTGGAGCTTACAGTCACCCTACCGGATGGCAAATTATTGGAGCTGGATGCAACCTGCAGATATTGGAGTGAACCTCTTCAAGTTGAAATGTTGAGTCCAGTTACTGAGCTATTTCAGCAGAGTGTGAATAAATGCATGGAAGGAGAGGAGCACATCCCCAAGTTAGATGACCACTTTACAGCCTCTTATCTTTTGCATGCCATGAAGTTTGGCACAGAAGATCAAACATTCCTTTGAAGAAAAGACATGACAAGAATCTGATCCATACATAGTCTAGTGAGGAAGGATCATATGAAGAGAGTGAAGAGAGGAACATAGTGATTCATGAACAATAAACTTTTCACCTACTTTATGACTTTTAACAGTATTTTAATCATAAGGACAGTTGAAATTAGTCAACATAACAGTGCAAGGACTTTGACTGTATTAACAACCTCAGTAAATGTACTGAGAACAGTATGGAGAAGATGCATACCGATAATGGTTTAAAGGGTTAATGTCAGTTTTGCGGCTTTGTTTATTTTAGTCTTCCCCCTAGGGGTTGATGTACATCAGCCAAAATCTTTCATTTGGGTGATAAGACTTTTCAGCACAGTCTCACAGTCATTTGGCCATTCAGTTCATTTAACACAGAAAAGTAAAGAATATAAACATTTTATAAATTTTATTAACTCAAGGATCTTGTTTAGGTTGACAAAACTCAGATATTGGATATAGTTCTCACTCTCATGATTTAGTATCATCAACTGGGTCGATAACATAAATTGGCCACTGTAAAGAGTTTCAAAGTTGACATTTCAACCATCAGAGCCCTTTGTCATTTGCTCTGACAAAGGGCTAATGCTCAAAATATCAGTTTTGAAACTCATTATGATGGCCAATTCATGTGATCAACTCAGTTGATAATACTTATTTACCCTGTTATATTCCCCCACTGATGCAGCATCACAGTTTCTTTAGTAACATGCCCCTCTTCACTCTTATGATTGTTCCTTTTTTTACCTCTTGTGGTTGAATTGTGTTTGTAATGAGTTGAGTTTCAAATAAAGGAATGCCTTTAAGGATATTGCTGTTACATTGACAGGGTGGTAATTTTGGGAGCATTATTCTTTTTGGCTCTTAAATTTAATCTATTGTCTTTTTTGTTTTTTGTTTTTTGTTTTTTTCATTTTGTAAAAGAGTTTTTAAGAATGACAAAATTCACAAATGATTATGAGCACTGTAAAAATAGCTATAATCAATATTTTTCATGTGGATTCAAAAGCTAGATGTCCATCATCAAGCTACATTCTTTACTGAATGCAAAAATTAAGAACAGGTATAATTTAGATGGAAACTCTCGAGCGATATGCTATATTTACAGGGATAAGGAAGTGAAGAAAATTCTAGAAAGCTGTGAATAGCGTGTAACACCTTAGCCCGTAACTAATTGTATGTACGTGATGCGGACCTCATTCGTTCCATTTTGTCATTATGGCGTCCTTCTCGACTCTCAATGATGACTGCCTTTGCAGAATTATTTCCTTTTTGGACGATCCTGATTCCTTTCACAGCGTCGCTCTCTCCTGCAAGAGGGTTCAACAGGTGATTAACAACACTCGGAGCATTCTCCATCCAAAGTTGCTGCGAGCAAAAGCTGAATATTACATAAAATGCTACCTTGTGGAAATCACCGATGACAGGAGAGACTATAACAAGTTTAGAAATCTGGAGAATCTTCTGTCCAATGCTGCGCGCCTTACAGCAACTAAGGAACTCCTGACTTATGCGAAAGTGGTAAAAGTTTGGGAGAGAAACGGACCCGTGGCAGCTAAATTGTTTACATGGATCAGAAATCTGGAGAGTAGAACAGAAGAAGGCGAACCGCGAGCGACTTGTTTTAAAGAATACCAAAGTGTCACGTTGCATTTGTCAGGCTGTGACAAGGACTTAAAGATCGATACCACCTACTTTCATGATCACATCGGTAATTACGACAACGAGTTGAGCATCCACGTCACTTGTGGAGATTTGGATGTAAAGTCAGAAGGTGAGTTTGCAGGTTGTTTTTGATTAAAGATTAGTTGACTACAGTGCAGATAACAGTGGAACTGGTTGAGATAACTGAATTGAAAGAGTGATTGACCAGGTGACTGACTGACTTAGTACTGTGAGAGTGACAGACTGACTGACTGATACTATGACAGCCCCATGTACCTAAGGCCTTTAGTGACTGACTGTCTACCTGAGACTGTAATTGGCTATCTGACTGATTGATACAGTGGCTGACTGACTGACTGAGAGATTGGCTGACCTACTGACTGATCGTCTCATTAGGAGAGTCAACAGGCTTTACTGACTGACTGACAGACTCAGTGTTTGACAGACTGACTGAATGAATTGATTGAGTGAGTCTGGGATTGATAAATTGACTGATCCAGTAAGCATCCTTTATTTATGCCATGCCTGGTTGGGTTTAACTGGTGAGTTTTAGTATTCCAGCCAAAATAATTGTAAAAAATTTGAACCGAAAATAAGACTTGTTTGGCAAACATGGGTGTGGGTGACGATGGTGACCCCCTCTTTTTAGGGAAAACTGACAATTTATAAGAAAAACAAGCATGCTTTTGAATGCCAGGAGAAGTTAGTACAGGACCCTTTAATGATTGTCTATAACAAAGTGCTGTGTCATTAAAGTTTATTATTTTTGTGGCAATTTTGGTCAAGTTGCTGTAGTACATCTCTTGTTATTATGCACAATTCTATGTTAGCAGACTGTCTCTTATGTTATTTTGACTATATGGTTAAATTAATATTTTAAAGCTAAAATACCATTTTGTGTAGATTTTACCCGCTATTGCCCAGATGATTATGAGTATTGGGAAGAAAATGAAGTTCAAGCTGCAGTGAAACCAATGAAACCAGTGGTGGAACTCCTGCAAAAAGAGCTTGGTGAGACAGTTCCTCCCATAACAAACAATTTCTTCATCTGGCTGTGTTACTTCTTTCCGCACCACACCTTGGCAGTAGAACACAAACTCAGGTTTAAAGACCTTTCCAGGAATGAAAAACCCACCCCAGGCCATGTTCAGCCAGCTATAGATCTGTTTCACCAGAACCTTCAAGCTGAAACCAAGTTGAAGAACCTAGTGTCTGAATGGAATAATACTCATTCAAACCTTCCCAGTCTGATTGCTGAAACTATGGCTGTCTTGATCCAGAGATCAGAGACAAAATTCCTTGAAAAGCTCCAAAGAGATGCTAATGGCTTTTATGAGATTGCCTCAGACCTTAAGCAGAAGCCACTGCCCAAACCACTTGTGCAGGACTTGCTTTTGCGAACAGAGCTTGAATTTAGTGATTACAGCCCTGGTACAGTTGCAGACAAGTTTGTAAAAAGCAGAGCTTCATTCAGGTTTTCAGGAGGTAAAGTCGTGAAAGCTTGGGGTGGCATGCATGGGGATGGGGCAAGTTACCCAACTTGGGATGAATTGGAGCTTAAAGTCACCTTACCAGATGGCGAAGAATTGAAACTGAATTCAGACCACACATACAGGAGGAAAACTATTCAAGTTGAAATGTTGAGTCCAGTTACGGAGCTATTTCAGAAGGGTGCAAATAAATGCATGGAAGGAGAGGGGCGCATCCCCAAGTTAGATGACCGCTTTACAGCCTACTATCTTTTGCATGCCTTGAATTTTGGTGGAGAAGAAGAAACATTCCTCGGAGAGGATGATAAAAATGTGAGCTGTTCACAGTCTAGTGAGGAAGGATCATATGAGGGGAGTGAAGAAGAACTGAGTGAAGAGGAACATAGTGATGAACAATAAACTTTTCACTTACTTTATGGCCTTAAACAGTATTTTATTCATAAGGACAGTTGAAATTAGTCAACATGTCAGTGCACTGACTGTGTAACTTTAATAGTCTAACATAGGTTTAGTGAATGCCTTTGGAAATCTTCCTGAATGTGTATTTTAAAGTTATGTCTTTCAAAGACAGAAAGAGCAAATATCATTAATCAATGAAATGAAGAAACTAGTTTGCTCCATTTGGCTGTAAAACAGTTCAATAGTGTTTTATTTATCAGCAGAGTAGTATTTATAGTCTATTGTAAGTTGGATATTCTAGCTCAAAAGAAGCTGTAGCACATTTTGAATTTATTCCATCTGCAATAAACAGCACTTCACATATCAGGGGAGGTAATTTTAAAATTTCCATGACAACAAATAGCCCCTTAACTGAGGAAGAATTGATAATGCAGGTTTGGGGTCTGGGAAAGACACTCACTAAGAGAGATATCTAATTATTTCTTTTTCAGTGCTGTGGTTGGTTGAGAACACTAGCATTTACATGTAGAATTCAAACCAATTATAAAGACTCAGTCATTGGTGCAATTTTGAATTGAGTATTGAAATTTATCCGTAACTGCATTGGGTTTGCTTTACTTCGCTCTGTGATTGGTCCAGAAAACTCGCGCCACTCTCTCAACCAATCAGATGTAAAACTAAAATCAGTCACGACTTGATCGCCCGCGTTTTCCCGCGCTTTAGGTAGTTTGGTTGTTTTTACTTTGAGTTCTTGTTACCTCTTTAAGGTATTTTCTCTTCTTCCGATTTTCCCTTGTGAATACTTTTGTTTGGTTTTGTGACACTTAATCAAAATGCGCTGTAACTCCTGCACCGGAACGAGTACTCCTATTGTATTACTTCTGAGGTCTTGTGATTGTCTGTAGTAATCACCTTTTTTCAAAGAATCTTTATGGATGTGTGCTCTGAACATTGACAGGCCATCACCTGATGGGAATTGATGTCACTCTAAGTGAACTCACAAGATTTATTCGTGCGATAGTCTTGCAAGTGCAGACTGTGGTCTAACCTCTGGTGCACGAGCTTGTTTCACTTTAATACGTTTTCCAGTTTCTGCTACTGAAGCCGATTTCAATCTGCCAAATACCTCAGTACCTTGTACGAAGTTAAAACGTGTTGTTTCAAAGTTGTCACGCCATGCTCGCAGTTCCTGGTAACTTGGAAATTCAATTTTGTTATGGATGGATAGCGAACTCAGCTCTGTCTGTATTTTGTCGGTGGTTTCCGATAGCGTTTGAATATTTGCAATATCCTTTGCATTTTGCAGCAATGTCACACTGTTGTCTTCCGGTGTCACATTATTTTCTTCTGGTGTCACATTCTTTTCTTCTGGTGCGTGTAGAGCTGATTGTTTACGATTGGCATCCCTTTCTTCATTGCGTTGGTTGTTTCCTTTAGCTTCCAAACATTTGCTTCGACCGTCGTTTTCTTCTTTCGAATTTTTGCCCTTTGATTGATCCTTTGAAGTGGATAAATCCTCATTGAATGCTTCAATGGAGCCATGTATTTCTTTGTTTTTAGAAGATTTCTGTTTAGCTCCTTTACTATTTGACTCTCTTTCCTTCAAGTCGAAAGATTCTGTTATCACATGTCCGCTTCCGTCTTCTGACTGTCTTGGCTTTTTTATGTCAAGCAACTTCATGTGGTTAATATTCTTCGAAAGCCTTGTGGCTTTAAAATAATTCTCAGTGTTCGTCAACTTCACTGGATATCCAGGAACAGCTCTTCGCTTATCTACGGGTGGAAGTTTAACTTTGGAATCCAAGGGAACCGATTGTGTGAAGAAAATTGAATCCATTCTCCTCTCTTTCCGTGGGTCCCTTCCATGTTCCCTCGTGTTCGGCCGATAGATTCCCAGGGATTTTTGACGATCAATTATTTTGAGTCGACGAGCATTTATCAGCGACATTTCAAAAAAGAAATATCTTTCCCGCATTTTCTTTTCCATTTCAATTCGTTTGACCTCCATGTTTAAAACAATCTGATGTTTCCTGTTTGCTTTTATTACCGTGGCTTCACTGTCTTGGTGTGAGGCACTCCGAATGTGTATCATTTTGATTAATCTCTGAGTAAACTTTGAACGAAAAGTCACTCGATGTTTAACTTTCTGTACTATAAATATGTACTGTATCGCATAAACTGTTAAAATGTTTCTCGTGGTTTCTCTAAAACCAGTTGTTTAAGGTGATTCCACCCAAAGACTTGACATTTATGGTGTGACTTTTTCTTGTTGATGCTGTAGTTACTCGATGGAAACCAAACAATAGATCTTGTTGTGCAAACAAGCTGTTATAAATCTACTGAATTTACGGTTGCCGCTGGAATCGGATCAAGATGAAGTATTTTAAGTCCAAAGAGTTTACCAGATATCTTTTAGGCTCTTTGTGGTGAATGGCGCTGTAAAAAGTCAGAGTAAAATCGATATCGACCGTGTGTTTGTTGTGTTGTATTCCACGCCTCCAAGTTTAACTGAAGTGATTTTGCTTCACCATAGGCGCGAACGTTTTGCCGGTCCAGTTGCTCTGCTGAACAATTACCTAGAATTGGCTGAGAAAACAGCTCAAGTAGCTTTCAGTGTCTTTTCCCCAACAATTCTCAAGTTGTTGCGAAAGTTGATTTCTTTAAAGTGCCATCGTCTGTTTTCAGCAATGACCTTGGAAACGGAAGTTTTTTGGTGGTCAGAGATGGATTTTCTATTTCAGAGCAACTCAAACTGTTTGTTTAGTCGTAGAAAGTAAAGCGTCAAAATTCCAGAGGTATCACGTTGCCAACGCGAGTTCTTTAGTATCCCATCTTGGGTTGTTTCCCAGACAATTGTTGGCCTTCTGTCAGAAACACAATCACCAGCTTGCCGTCTCTCTAAAGGATTTATTGCTAGTGAGATTAATTAGTTCGTTTGCTTTCAATCCCGAGAGAATGGTGTGAGATAATGATACTCAAATATTGCAGTATTTTGATGCAAATTCCTTTGTTTGTCTTTACCGCAGAATCAGCCAATTGGACGGACTTTTGCTCTGACGACTTCGCTAACACTTAATTGCGATAATCAACTTTCGCAATGTCAATATGTAATTACTGTAGGTTTTATTAGGAGAGCGTAAAGTCCCAGAAAAAATCTTGCAAAATATTGGGAAAGACTGATCCTATTTTTGCATATTGACGAGAGCAAGAATGGGAACTTAAAAGGTCATCCTTTAAATATAGTTCTGTCGAATTTGTATTAGTTTTTGAACACAGCGTTTCAGCTTAAAAGTCAATGAAAGATGTCGAAAGTAACTGTGAAGTTAAGTGGTCAAATTGTAATAAATTCACCCGCCGCCACAAAGTCTTTGTTACTGAGGTTCCACCCTCTATTTTTTAATCCAGAGCATTCTTCTTCCTGTAGCTTTTAATTTGATTTGGACAGACTTACAAGTTCATTCATACCATGCTCTTTTTATTCAGCATTTTTCGGTTCTTTCTTAGCTTATCTTGGTTTGCTTCTCAACCTAATCAGAATTCACCGTTGTCCCAAACGCATGTAAATAGGTTCCACAGTTGGCGAATCCGTTTTTTTTTCTGCCTTTTTTTAATGGTTTCTAACAATTGCCAGGCTATGAAGAAGTTGCATCCATCCACGCCTTCAACGGATGCGGGACGGGTTTTGATCTACAGGTCTACGGTTATCAGAAGGTCTCTGTGGGATCAATTGATAGCCGGAAAAGGGCCATAAAATTTAACCTTAAGGAGTAAAAATTGATAAATTTTAACCGATAGTCGTAAAAAAAGTTGGCCGTAAAAACCAATTCTAGGGATAAAAATGGTATGATATTAAACGTTAGCCATTAAACGGCCAAAATTTTAACCGTTAGCCGGTTAATCTACTGAGACCCTACCATCAGTTGGAGCGAGATCTGGATACTTGAATCGGATAGGGCAACATTGTGAAACTTGATTGTGGTAACTAACTCCAGCGTAGAAGTGCGGAAGAGAAAAAAAAATTAGAGAAATGTTTCCTATCAATTTCCCGTTAAAGCCTAAATTTTAGTTCAGGCCTCTTCTTTGTATTTCCTTCAATTGCAGCTCGCCTACCGGGATCGTGGTTTAACTTGGATGCAAGAATGGAGTTTCATTTTAACAGTCACGTAGCAGTGAAGGGATTAAATAAGAACTTTACCTAATCGACAGATTGTCGGATGATTGTCGGGCGACTGCTTACCGACACTTTGATCGGTTAAGCGTCGGCCGAACGTTAGCCGACTCATCGGCGTGACATTTGATCTACCAGATCTGTTTAGTTATTCGTAAGTGTCCTGATTACGAAAACAATCGTTTGGGTCACTTTCTCGTCGTAAAAATTGGAATGATCTCTCTGTTCTCTAATAGAATAAGCGCTAATAACAATAGGTTGCTACGGCAAACAAACATCAGCAAGATTATAATAATCCGAAAAATAATTCACAAAGACAGCTGAGGATGGAAGACATAAAAGAGCTGCGAATGACGAAATGTGACGTCACTTCATATGCTACGTGCTTGCAATGACGCACTAGAGTCAATTGTAGCTTAAA